ATCCTTCTTGCATTAAGTTTTCTAATCTTACATAAATGTAAAGAATAACTTCCACTCATGGTAATATTTCCATATTCCCATTTTGACTATCACTTCTGAACAAGAGTTGCCTATTTTCAGAATATGTCAATATGGTCCTTCCAAATTTACACTATACTTCCAACTGTCCATGAGCAATCAATCTTTGGTAAACCTCATATTGTCCTCGACAATTCATTAATCATTTTAGTCATATCCAATTCTAGTCCTTTTCTCTCTAAATTCCCTAGGCGTTTGGAAAAATGGAACACTTAAATATTATAGCATATGCAATCGTTCCTATACCCGAAGCACATGGGATACAATTCACAATGTCTCACATAAAGACGTGATACTTTACCAATCTCTTGCTACAGTATGTCCACATATAGAATTTCCTTATGTTGAACCATTTCAACATAACATCCATATACGTTCTTGACTAAATTTGATTAAAATCTCAATCTAAGCTTTTAGATTTGAAATGAAGTATGAATTCCTCTCCCTTAATTATAGCAAGACAACTTTGCAAACCCTGCAACTACGCAATTGAAACTTTTTTTTTTCTATAATTAACATTGCTAACTTGCAACAGTTACCATAATGATTATGCTCCCACTAGCATAACAATTATTTATATAATAGCATAACACTTATGCTTCTACTAGCTTTGACATGTACCCAGAAATCAGCCGGACTTCTAGAAATCAATACTTATTGACTTCCTTACCAAAGTTCAGATTTTTGACACGGGATGCTTCGATAAGACTTTATCTAGGCTTCTCAAACTCATACATCTTTCCTTAGATAGCTCATATGTGTCTAAATAATTTTAGAACTTACATCAATAAGTTCCAAATGTTTAGCCCGTTGCCATTTCTCATAATTTGAACTATGAAGAGGGATGCCGTAATCATCATCGAATTTGTGAATGCAAATATCACAATTGCTATCTCTTTAAAATCTACTTAGTGAAAGTGTTTCCTCAGAATCATTTTCATGAATTTGAGAGAAACCTTATGACACTTAGATTTTATGGTGTATGTGTTCCTATCCATGTGAATTTTTCAAACCATAATCATAAGACAAGGTTTGTGACAAATCCAAACTCATATAGACTGAACTTGTTCAATCTTAATTTCCTGCCACTTTGTAGCACAAGGGCCTACCATGTCTTCCAAGTTGTCATGCAAACAACTGATAACTCATAGAGCTCAAATGCATAGTGAACTTTAATTAGAATGGGCACAGAAACAAGAATATGTCAACACGATAGGTTACAGACCTCAAATCATGTGCTAGTGATTAATAACAGGTTTATTCTTGAGTAGTTCTTGAAACTTTTCCAGATCTTTAAGACTCCCACTGACCTCTTGACATATTAGTTTCTCTTTATCAAGAACATTCCTTGACAACCAAATATTCAAGAGTTAGTGTAGTTTCCTATCAAGACAAACACTTCTGACAATCGGTCTTAGTTGATCTTTGTTTTATCCAAAACATCACAATTTACCGATTTCAAATGTACAAGAGTAAAAAACATTAGACTCTACATTTGATAAGTGTTATAAACCTTTCTTAAGGCCATGTCACTAAAGTTACAATCTTGGAGTATGACTCTAAGACTTGATTTTGGAACGAAGTATGATTCACCCTTTTATTTAACCATTTCAACAATTCACGGTTCCTCTTCTTAGCCATACAAATTCACTAAGATGTCCTTAGAGGATCAATTGTGACATGGTTTTCATAATCATTAAGATGA